CAAAAAATATTTATTATTTTTTTTATCTTTTATTTTAACTAACTTTTCTTTAGATTATTTCATTGTTTTTCGACATTGAAAATTGAAACACTTGGAATGTATTTAATTATAAAAAGTAAAACTCACTCTCTAAATTAAAATATTAATTTAAAAAGTTTTTTGGAGTATGATTTTAAATGTTGACTCTTTAAAATGGATAGCATATCATATTTAAAGAGTATTTTGGAGATGCTCTCCAATGGTAAAATAAATATTTAGATCTCCGTAAACTTTTTCAACGGAGAGATGCAAATGAGATATAAATTGCATTTTTGGGCAGAAAATATTTAAAAAAAGTGTAGATTTACATCTCTTTTTAAATCCACAAGAGATAAAAAGTAAATTTAAATGTTTTTATTAGAGCATAATTTGAATTTGAATTTATCTTGATCTAAATGAGGATGTAGAAGTAATTTTCAAGATATTAATTTACATTCTAATTTTACACTAGCATTGAAGATGATCTAACCGCTACATCTCAGACCTTTTAGTAAATGGTAATATAAGGAACTTTGAATGGACTTTGTCCAAAAAGGGATCAAAAGTGAAGCGTTTGACCATTTTTAAAAAGGATAAAATAACAATTCTGCATTCTCATTTAATACAATTAAAATAATTAAAAATGAAAGAGAAAAGAAATAAAAGACAAGGTCCTTATGTCGCAAATTTATTGAAAGATTTGAGACGTGGCTGTTAAAATTTAAAAAGTTTGAAATCACGATGTGAAATTTTTATAGCGTTTGAAACATCTACTACAATTTTTTCTAAATATAATAATAGTAATTTTCTTTGAACGTTGGATTAAATGCATAGCGAAATACTCAATGTAAGCGTGATTTCTTAAATATTCTATCGTATTCTTCGAAGAAGACGTTGTGGGGGTTGTATGTGCTCGATGCGAGGACGAGGAATAAACTATTTTGCTTGCTTCATTTTCTTGCACAGTTGATAGACAGTTTCGGATTTTTTTCCCCTTTTTCGAGTTAGATGATCAATAAATTCGATGTAACTAGTGATATGTTCTTCTTCTTATGATCATCTTTCCGAAGAGGAAATGGAGTTGTTTATGGTTACATCTTGGGCATACTTGAAAAAATATTACACTGTCCTCTCCAGTCATGACCTATGTTGCACGGAAATGAAAATGGGAAATGAAACATGACATGACATGAGAAAATGTTATTTCTAAAAAATAAAAGTAGAACACAAAACGCTGCAAAAACGTTACATTTAATTTAATTTCATAAATTCAATATTCAACTTAAAAAAAAAAACTCCATAATACAAATTAAATGACAAAAATTTCACAATCTATCTAATTTAACCAAGATCTAGACATAAAATCATTATCATCTCAAAATATAGGGTTTCATATAGAATACTCACATAGTCCCATGAAAATAAACTGACTTTTCATTTTTGTTTTTCCCAAAATATAGGTCACTTTCTTTAGGGTTATTATATTACCATTATAATTTTTGTTTGATACATCATATTTTATTTGCAATTAAATTTCTCAATTTTTTTCATTGTAGTAATTATTTTCTTAACGTTTTTCCATCGAATTCGTTTTTTATCCTTCTATTAATTAGTACTTCTAGTCCTCAATAATGATTTGTATCAAAATATTTTATTTTCATGTTTTGAAATGAGCGGAAAATATTTTTTTCGCTCTTTTATTTATTTATTTATTAAAAATATGATGAAAAAATAAGTCATTTCATGTCATTTCAACATATTTAATTAATAATTTTCATACAAATAAGTTCTAAACAATTAAATTGTTTATAGTTTATTTTATTTCCACGCAAATCTCATGCTTATAGAAATCTTGACGTGATTAACAGAAATAATGATGAGACGTAGAAAACGTATTATTTTCAATAATCTTATTATACAAAAATGTTTTATATTGCTAGATAAGTCGTGTCAACGGATTCAATGATTTTTCTGACTAAATTTCATTAGAATCAAACTAGACTGCTCCAAAAATGAAGCTATTTAGAATAAGAAAGATGTAATGACAACAACACATTGGATGCCTCATGCCGGATGTGCGATAATGAAGCAACAGACAGAAGAAGAGCCCTCTTTAGAGCACGAGGAGATGATTCTTCAATTGTCATCACCTATGATGCACGGAAACGTCAGCGTTCCGTTTTGAAAACTCTTCAAAAATGATTCGGAAACTCAAAAAAAGTTATCATTTTTTAATATAATTCGGGAACTCTGTGAAAATTTATGGAAACTTTTAGGAAACTTTGTATGAAAAAATTCAGAATTTTAACCAAAAAAATTTAAGCAAGGGGCTCTAACCAAAAGTTAAACCCAAATTTTCTATTGTAACAATTTCCGGATTATTAATATTTTCCATTTCATAGTGTACAAGGTAATTTGAATTAATTAATACACATTTTTATGGTCAATCTAAAGCCAAAAGAAAAGTCAAAATTAGTTGCCCTTCAAAAAGCCACAATAAAAGTCTCGTAAGGTAGTTTGATTTTGTAGTTGAATTCTTGTCAGCCAATCCAAAACTCCTCCGCGTAGATTCATCTTCCCCATTATTCCTTTCTCCGCTGACTGCTACTGTCAACGTCATTTTCATTTCCAATTTTTTGACCCAAATCTCATCCTCTTCTTTCCGTTTAAATACCAGAAGCAATCTTCAAATTAGTCTGAATTTGTTTGGAAAATTCAAATTTAACTTCATTTTCTCTTTCTCAACCTGAAATTTTCTCCATTATATGAGTTCTTGTTGGCTGTTCTATTGTGTACTAGGAACATCCTTTTCTGGGTTTTGCTCAAAGTTTCAAGATTTTCTTGGAATTTCAAAGAATCCCCCACCACAAGTCCCAAAAGTGGGATTTACTCAAAAAGCTGAGAAATCACTGCGTTTTGTTTAAATCTCAATTTTTCCTTGGGATTCCAAGAATATAATTAAGCTGTCCAAAAATCCCGAGTAGATTGTCATAGAAACTCAAAATTCGGGAGGATCCCGAAAATATTTCTTCATTTTTGTCATAGAAAATGGGAGACTCGGCTGGTATGTATGGGAATTCTGGTGATACAGATTTGCTTGAGCTCACAGGAAAAATCATGGTGGTGGCTATAATAATCCTTTCCATTGTGGCAGTTTTTTTGTTTTGTCTTCACCTCTATGCCAAATGGTTCTTGCACCGCCGCCAAGAAAACGCCACCACCACATCCCACCGCCGCCGCCGCAACTTTGACTTCGCTGCTGGGCACCTAGAAGTAACTGTTATCACTGCTCGCCCCGGCCTAGACCCGGCGACGCTCAAAACTATACCTGTAGTCGTATTTGATCCCAAAGAGTTTAAAGAAGGATTAGAATGTGCAGTGTGTTTGTGTGAGATTTCTGATGGTGAAAAAGCCAGGCTTTTACCAAAATGCAAGCACGGATTTCATGTTGAATGCATTGATATGTGGTTCCAATCACATTCAACTTGCCCTCTTTGTCGAAACCCGGTTTCAAATTCGAGTCAACCCTCTTCGAATTCTGTAACTACTGAATCAACACTTGATACTATATTACAAACCCCAATTGGGGAAAATTCAGGCGTTAATGGTACAGATGTTCCAAGTTTCCCTACCAACGTGTTGTTTTGGGGTAATGAAACTCAGATTAGCGTATTGGGTCCTTGTTTGGAGGATGGCAGTGGAATTAGTACCAGTGCCACTTCCTCACAGACACCTAGTTCTTCATCATCCCAGTCGACTAGTAATAGGCCGGACGGCATGATGGTGATTGATATACCAAGGCCGTTTAATGACGAGGAAGAACAAAAATCTCCGGTGCCTACACGATTGAGGTCATTGAAAAGGCTCTTGAGCGGTAACAGAAGGATCAATCCTTGCAGTCCAAGAAATGTTGATCTGTAGAAAAGGAAGTAGAGGCTTCAAAGTTGATTTATTCATTGTAATATGTTAATACGTTGGTTGGTAGTTACAATGCACGTTTGTTAGCCCAAAGTCGGTGGCATTCTAGTAGATGGTTAAAATCTTTTTGGCAAGTCAAGAATCGTCATTTGGGGTACTTCCACCATGGTAGTTTGGCACTATACGGAATGAAACCTTGACTCATTGGTGGATTGTTTCGGAGATTGATAATCTCCGATGAAAAAGTTGATTTGTTCGACGTTCTTTTAATTCTTGATGCAGATGAGAGGCTGCCCCTTGATATCCGCACTCTAAATGAAGCATTTCCTTGTTTCTGGGAGCCTATTTATATAACATAGGAAGTGAATATGTTGCATTTCATACATAGTTTGGCTTCTCTGTTTGAGAATGGAAATGTGTCCATCTTATCTTACAGAAGAGTATTAGGTAAAATCTCAGGTCAATTCTTTGCTGGCTATTATGTATGTACTGCTGGGATGTTTCAATCTTATGAAATTTATTTCAATTGCAGAAATCTTTCCAAGTTTTGTTCTTATGCATTTGACGTGTTTAGTTTCTTTTCTTGCTTTTGATTGGTTACTATTCTCTATTGATTGTTGGATGAAATAGACCAGTGTAGGAGGAAAGTGCACAGATTATGTTTAGCAGACTCGAAAACAATTTACTAGTGTCATGTTTGGTAGGAAAGATTTGTCCACGCTCAATAGTATTAAGAAAGAAATTAAAATGTTGTGTATTATACAGTTGAGTCATGTCCATTACTGCGTGCCATACATGCACTAGGTGTTCGAGAATGTGACACGTTTTTGAGTCATTGAAGGGGGCATGAATGAAGCATGCTACGAAGTGTAATTTTTTTGGAGGTACGAACGAATGCACCTTGCTCTTATCGTTCATGCAAGACCCCGTCCAGTCATGGGTCATGCGAGGGCATGAACTCAGTGTTCCAAGAAATGAAAGGTTTTTGAATTATTGAAGGGTGCATGAATCAAGCATGCTATGGAGCGTAATCTGTTTGCAAGTAATACAAATCTACATTGTTCTCATCATTCATGTAAGTCCCCCGTCCATCGATGGAGCACTCGAGTACGCATCCAATTAGTGCAACAAAGTGAAAATTTCTCTATTCTTATTGTCAAAATCTATAGCCATATATTTCAGCAAAATATTTGAATGGTAAAATGAATACATCAATTCTTAATCAGGGGGCTAAAACCTGGTTGTCTTGTACATTCAACACCATATTATGGGGTGTATGTGCCCCTCTGCTTTTACTCACAAAAATTAGAGAATTAGAACCAACCGACAGTCATGAATCAAGACAGATTCTTGAAAATTTGGATGTTCTAAACGATATAAACACGATCACAGTACATGATATTCTTTACTGATCTATACTAAGTCACCAAGTACACAGGTCCATAAGATTGAACAGCATGAGAAATGTTAAGCTGGCCAAGAGACACATAGGGCACCTCGTCCTCGACTCTCTTGCTCGAAAGGAAAAGACTGGCGATGGGTCCGGATGTTGGATTCTGGGGTCTGCTAGTAATGCTACCACCACCACTTCCACGGACTGGACCCGAGAATGGACCATGCCTCGGTTCAGAACCGACGGTGCCATTTCTTGGAGATTGCTGCATGACGGACTTGTTCTTCTTATCGGTTTTCAACCAGGAAAACAGGGAATTTTTCCATGATTTTCTGTTCTTTTTCTCCCCTTGTAATTGTCCCTTAATTCCCACTTTTTCAAGAGGCTCAGTCTTGAAATTTCCTTGGCATGCTTTTGCTTCGTCAAGAAACTGAAATTGATAGAAGTATCAAAACAAAGAGGAAGACACAAATCATACAACTAAAGATTATAGAACTTACCTGCTTAAAATCTGCTTGGCAATCAAACTCATAGTCAAAATAATCTGCACTGTCATATTTCTTGTATGTTGGAGACTTCATTCTTGACAACCAAAATCCCAAAAATATATCGACTTCGAAAGTTATCTAGCAATTTCCTGTCAACGCCCAGTATGGTTGGAATCTGTGCTCGATCTGCAAAAAAATGTCGTTAACGACAACTCCCGGACGACGAAGCCTATGAAGGAGAGTAAAATGCACTAAGTAATAGATATGAAACTGATCAATAAGATTATAAAAAAGATATTACAATGATATCATTGATTCAATAGGTTTCTTCACTTATGATTTTGTTCCCAAAATGTAATGGCCAGCTAAGTATATGTTCATCAAATGAAATTGTCTTACAATTTATAGTAACTTTTGGTAGTTGGATAGGTAGTGAAAGCTACTAAAAACATTTATATATGAAGGGAAGAGTGCTTATTGGTGAAGGTCAGTGCCATATGAATTAATGCATGTCTTTAAAATGTCTAAAAAGATACTAATGGAAATCAACAATACTTTAAGAAAGGGTAAATTTGATTAATGGAAATTAAATATCAAATCAAGTCTGTTGATGATGATTATTACTCCTATATGCGATTCGTCGAAGACAAAATATAAATAATTAAATGGTTTAATTTCTTTTGATTTAAGTTTTTAGATAATATGACGGTATTTGATCTCATAGTGGTTTGGTGTTCGAATATCACAACTATAAATTTTCAAAAATTTTACATGTCAAGTTTTTAATGAATAAGAAATACGATGTACGCGTGACTGAGTGTTAAATACAGATACAAATAAAAAATTCCCACACTTCATAAGTCTAAGTTCTCAACGAGTTATTTCAACATAATAATTGTGGGTAAATTCCATTTGCAGTAATTCTACTTGCAATTTAACGTCGATCAAGTCATTATACATTGAATTTTATATAATCACGTAACTACACATAAATATTGTAATTTAGAATGATAGAAATCAGTTAATGACTTCGTACACGAACAATTGCATGAATAAGAAATAACATTATCACGTGACTCTCGTATGTCTATCTCCGATAAAACCCTCTTTGCTTTCAATTGGGAGACATGAAATCATGGAGTTATTAGTTATCAATTCAACTAAATTGTTACAATAGGGTAGGGGTGAATTAAACGATTATGTTACATGTACGTATATGATTGGATCCGAATTTTTTCAACTAAATAAATTAAATCATTATGTAACTGCTTATGTACAAGTAGCATTATTCTGAATCGAATGACAAGGAGATGCTTAAGCATGAATTAACACCCCTATAATTATATAATTAGATAGGCCTAACTAATAAATAGTGTTTAGTTAGTTCTTGAATGTGCATGTTTAAGCAAAGTAAATTTTAAGTTAACCAACTAATATCTGTCATCATCAATTTGTCGTTCAATGAAAAAGATGAAAACTTTCATGCCGCATGTTTCGGGGGTCCAATGTGTTTCTTTCACACTTTGGTTGGGAAATTAGCTTTTTGATGTGTCATAAAAGTTCGCTAAAAGGAGTTCAGATTTGCAGTCTTGAACTTCTTGTTCATCTATACATTTTTGGAAACCCAATAAATTATTCTTTATTAGTAAATGAGAAGACGCTTACGTGTAATATATAATTTGATGGCGACTTCTCATTAGCTAAAAAAAATAGGACTTTGCTATAGGTACAGACTACACACAACATTTGGGGGGAATTTTTTTTTTTTTTTCCCCAATATTTTATACATGGGGTGCACTACATGTAAGTTGGAATTCAAAAATCTGGTCCAATTCTGATAAAAATTTCCTGTACTTGAATCATTTTCCAAAAAAATATTATGTATTAATGTGTTAAAAATATATGGTGAGATACCGCCGACGGAATAGCAAGTTGAGATTCCAACACATAACAAAGAAGGTAAGAACACGAGGAATTTGTGCAATTTTCTTATTTTCAATGGATTTGAGACCGACTATGTAAAGTTATTATTGATTGATGTATTTGTTCCAATGTTAAATTGATCAAAGGATCCCATGTAACAATTTTTTTGCCTACCAATTTAGGCCTCTTCTAACTTGTTTTTATATAACAAATTTTATGATATTAATTGAAAAAGAAATTGTAAATTGGTTTAGTTGCCAATAGCACAATTCAAATCCTAATACAGTTCTTTAACTTTAGCTTTCATTGGGCAAATTTAAAATTGATCAAACTTCATTTTCAGTCACATAATTTAATAGATCCAAAAGTATTATCGTATTCTTCAATCTTATTTTTTTTTCTTATCTATTTATGAATTAAACAGTTTATAAATTCTTCCCAAACACATCCTTATTACTTGGACCCCTAAGATGAAGTTTATTAATTGAAAATTAAATATAGGTCTTGCCCTTTTTAATGAAAATTATATTGTTTTGACAATAAAAATAAGCAAATTTATCTTATTGTTCTCAAATTTAAAAACAAAACAAATCATCACACCAACGTGAGTGGTAATGAGCTCCGGCCGCTAGTCGGCGTGAGAGTCCCGTCCATGTGTAGCTTAGCGACCCATGAGAGTACATTCCAAGGGTAGCTTGGGGTCCCCATGAATCGAGCTCAAGCTGTGCCCTTGTTACGTCCCATTTTTGGGCAACAAATGTATTTTTGAGTAGTATTTTGTTGGAGATTGTGTCATTAAAAAATGAGATTTTTTTTTGATTTACGTGTAATATTATTTTATAAGAGAATGCGTGGTTGAAAATGAATTTTTTAAAAAAATGAGAACCAAACATGCGTTGTATTTAAAGACTATAAAATATTTTAATTTTAGTTATTTTTGAATAATTTTTTTTTTGTATTTAATTCTATTAATTTTTAAGAAGCAAAAATCGAAGGGTTCACTTCCCATCACAACCTAGCTCAAGTAGACTGGAGCCTAGACCCTTGATCGATAAACCAATCCTGGCTTGACCCATTGCGACCATCACCCAATCTAGTAACTGGGGAGAGTTAGCCCCTGGCTCCATTAATTTAAGAATGTATATCTCTCTTCTTTTCAATCACATTATTCAATAAAATAATATTGCATATAAACACAAAAAATTTCCTTCTTTTTCCACCATACGCTTCAAAAAATTACTATTACAAAATACATTTTTTTTTTCAAAAAACTAAATTATAATGAAGCTCAAACAGGCACATATTTCCATTAGGGTAATTGGCACAAAACGTCCCTATCTATGACAGTCCTTGTGGAAAACGTCCATACGTTTGATTTTTTGGTGCAGAACGTTCCCACCTTTGCATTTTCTTTTGCAAAATGTCATTTTCACCAAATTTTAACATAAAATGACAATTATACCCTCCTATATAAATAAAACAAAAAAGAAAAGAAAGGAAAAATAAAGAATAAATTGCAATCTTACTCCTAAACGTTTTAAAAAATGTAAATGAGTCCAAAATTTATAAAAATATTAAAAATTACAAAAAAATTCTCCCCCCTCTTCTCCTCCTTCGCTGCCAAAACCATAACTCCCATGGTCCTCCTTCCCACATTCCTTCATTCATACTTTGGTAAACAAGGGAAAATTCTTAAAAGTAATAAGAAAATCCCAAATCACCCAACCCTCACCAAGAACCCTAAATCACAGCAACCCAATTCGTCCCTAGATTTGAAGAATTAATACACCACACCTATAATCCCACCACTCCTGTAACTGTAATTAAAAATCATCAGCCTTGTTTGTCCGATTCGGTGAGTTTAGCACCTCCCCTTTCCCTCACAGTGGCAAGTAGGCGTTTTGACTCCACAATATCCTCCTCAAAGTGCCCAAACGTCAATTTCACACTTGTCGACTTTCTTATCTTCGCCGGAAGCCTTGCTAGAATCTCTACACCGCACGCCATCATCGTCAGCGACTTCACCTTTCTTCATCTACTACTGGTATTTTACACAACGAAAAGGCAATAAAATAAGCCTGATTCACTGGGACTGGAAGTCAACAAACTCGATCAGAATACGCATCAGAATAGTACCCACTCGATGCTGGACTAGCGGTGAAGGAGGTGGAGTTGTCGCTGCCGGTGGCGCTGTTGCTTCCTTCGATTTTAGCCAGTACTTCCCTGCTTTTGAGACCATAGAGGATACAGTCTCGGCAAAGCTCCCAAAAATTTGAGCTTTAACTCGGCCCCTTTTTGGAGGAAGATTGGGCTCGCGTTCTTTGAGTTGGAGGCTTGGATGCCATTAATTATGAAGGATCCTGCAGAAGAAGAAGAACAGAATAATTCAGCAAATTTAAAAAAGGTTGTGTAAAAATGTATTCTCCAGGGATCTAATTTCAAAGGGGGAATCAGAATTATTAAAAAAAGAAGATTTTGATAAATGACTATCAGATGTGTTGGGATTGAACTGCGGGCGGGCTTTGGAGAGAGGTGGAGGAGAAGAGGAGTGGGTGTTTTTGTAATTTTTAATATTTTTATAAATTTTGGACTCATTTACATTTTTTAAAATATTTAGGAGTAAGATTGCAATTTATTCTTTATTTTTCTTTTCTTTTTTGTTTTATTTATATAGGAGGGTATAATTGTCATTTTATGTTAAAATTTGATGAAAAGGACGTTTTGCAAAAGAAAATGCAAAGGCGGGGACATTCTGCACCACAAAATCAAACGTTTGGACGTTTTCCACAAGGACTGTCATAGATAGGGACATTTTGCGCCAATTACCCATTTCAATTATTATAATTATTACTTGCTAAGTATGCTGGTTGAAAGAGCAATATTATTTAGATCTACTGAGGTTGCAACCACAATCTACGTAGCGTCATGTGACATTAAATGATAAAAAAAATGCTATTCATCCTCAGTGGGAAAGCATCCCCAGTCTATGTGGATGTAAATGATTGGTTAAATGATAGGTGAGTCATTTAATTTCACCTATCATTTAATGCCATATTAACGCCACATAGACTGGGGGATGCATCCCCAGTGGGGATGAATAGCATTTCTCTAAATGATAAGTGTAATTAAATGACTTATTTAATTTCACCATTCATTTAATATATGATCCAGAACCACCTAAATTGGGATTGAATCTCCGTTCGGACTACATAACATTATTGTTGTTGAAAAGTGATAAAATTTTATAAAAGCAAACGAAAATATAATAAAGCCAAATAGTTTAAATAACTCTTTCAAACGACTTTACCTGTAGTGAGTATTTTTACAATATTCTTCTCTAAAAATTTGAAATTAGACCCAAACAATTGCTACATCAGTCATATCTTAATGCCAACTACCGCTCTCATAGAATGTTAGTTCACCTGCAGAACTTCTGTCTACTAAAAAAGAACTGGTAGAAGTAACAATATGTCCCCGGCCATGGCAACCGGATTTAACAATTCATGACTTGTGTTCACTATTGGAGTGCAGCGAACCAAAGATTTATTACCCACATAAGAACATCTTCAATCGTGATGTAAAATAAATCTAAATTGTGATTTAAATCTCTAAAGTGGCCTGAAATCTCTCCAAGAGATGCAAAGGAAATGCAAATTGCCTTTTATGACAGAAAATGTAAAAAAGATATAAATCAACATTTTTTTTTACACCCACAAGGGACAAAAAATGCATTTAAATCATTTCATTCGAGCAAAATTTGAATTTAGATTCATCGGGAAGTAAATGAGAATACAAATGTGGTTTTGAAGATGTCAATTTACACCCAATTTTATACCACGATTAGAGATGCTTCAAGCAGTCAAAGTACTGAATTCAACATCACCGTGCAAATGAATCGCATAGATCAAATCTTTCCAATGTAACTTTAAACTAAGTAGGAAGCATTTCCTAAAAAACTCCTCTCTCAAATTTGAACCAACAAGGACATTAGAAGCTTATGGAATCATCTTAATATTAAGAAATCAAATCACAGAAATTAAGAGAATTGCATAAGAACGAGCAAATTGATCCCTCTTCATTAGCACGATCTCTATATAAACACGTGTACGAGGGAATCAAGAAATCATATATACCCCCATATAGCACACTTAACCCCCAACCCGCTCTAAGCAAGCAAAGGCCATAACACCACCGAAAAAGAAAAGTAACAGCACTAACAACCACATTGGGAAAGATTGTTGCCTCTGGTCTTTCAATTCTTCTGGGCATTCCACTGTTTTCAGCGCCTTCTTTGCTTCAGTTTTCTTCAACAAGGATCCTGATGTTTCATCTGGAGTAGAGGCTTGGGCTGCCTGCTCTATCGGTTGCTCAGCTGCTAACTGCTCTTCATATTTCTTGACATATTCAAGGAAAAAGCTTCTTAAAGGTTGGTCTGTTGTGAACAAATCAAATTTATTAGGCACCCATCCAGAAAGTGCAACAGTTAAAAGAGACCACAAGACATTTCAGAGATTAATGAGCCATCCAATATTCAAAAAATTATTTGTATAAACAAATGCTTACACAACATAATAACTAAATTCATCATTCCCATAAACAAAAGCAATAGTCATTTGCAGACCAAAAAAGGAGGCATCTGATTCGTTAAACAACTCACTTTTTACAATTAAAAGCCAGAGAAGCCTTTGCAAGCCTCTTTTTCTCTTCTACAGTAGTCATCACACTGCCTGAGGTAGGATTGCTGTCCATCTGAAACACAACAGACCAGAAGGACCCTTCAATTTTATAGAAACATATCTCATTTGGCTGAATTTCTGATTATTGAAACTGTTTTCTAATGAATAGAAAAGAGCATGGCAGTTCCAGTCAGAAAAATAAATATGATTAATTCAATTAAAAAACTATTTGATGAACTAACCATGAAGGAAAGGAGACCCGTTAAAATGCTGCATGAAAATAAAGGGAAAAATCAGCACAAGAAACTTGACACTGCTAGAGAAAAGAAAGACCATATTTGTCTCAGTGACAACTCCTTACATGGAGACAGACCACGTGGGGTTCCAACTCTCAGGATGGTCTGGAATAGACATGACATTATTAAGTGAGAGGAGGGAAAAAAAAAAAAAGACTTGTGATAACAAATATTTAATACGTCAATGTAACTTCATGATAACTTACAATCACTCGTAGAAAGGCAAAGCTTCTTTTGTGGATCAAAGCGCCCACTGGGAGTAATCATACTACAGATGAGGTAAATAGCATTTTACATCATAAACGGCTACATATGAATGCTCAAAATTGTGAAGCCAACAATCTTCAAGGGTTAAATAAATTTTAGATGCAAATTTTGATGGGAACTAAATTACCTGATTCCTGGAGGTTTGAAAGGATATTCTGTAGGAAATATTATCTTTCCATAGTAATATCCACCTGGAGTGATCAATAATGTAAAAGCAAAACAAAATAAGCAAGCAAAACAAAGAAACAACTTTTGTTCACACCCTCATGAACTTTCACTCTCACTCTGGATACAATCAACGTATTCACAATGGTTAATAAATACAAAACCAGAAACCTGTGTATGGTGTTCCTTTGCTTCCCTTCCAACACATAATCTGACCACAACATTAGATAAAAGGATACAATTGAGAAATGATGAAAATAAATAAAAGAACAGGGAAAGAAATGAATAATAACCATCATTTCAATGAACCAATAACTCTACAAAATCAGCCATAAATGCAAGATTATGGAAAAATATTTCACAATATAACCTCCAAAATCGCAATAATATAATATCTTCGTATTTCAATAAAGAAGGACTATCCAAGATATTATTTCCTTTTCCAATTTGATAAACCTGATAACTGTACGAAGGACTTTCGTCATTTAGCACATCAAGAATTTATGAATTGAGGAGTGACAAAGGGCAGCAAAGGCACGTGCAAACAAATGACAACCGGAAAACCTAATTGTCCCACACATGAATGAAGTTGGTATATAACATATTGATGAGCACAACGTACCAAATATGAAATATGTCCAAATATTTATTTCGAAAATCCACTTCTTTTGATAGATCACAAAAATAAAAAAATGAAAGGAGAACCTTCTTAATGTGCACCAGAAAAGGCTCATGGAACAAACATCCACATATGAAGAACATAACTTGAGGAAATTAAGCCACTCGAGGATGTCATTTAGTAATGGATGGGCCATTATATGGGGAACAGGTTCCTTGAAATGAATAAGACAAACAATCAACAATAATACAGGGAAGATAAATAGCACATAATTTCCAATAAAGAGAGAAATTGAACGAAAGGATATTGCACAAAGCACACAGAAAAGTAAGCAATAGCTAGCTTGACCACATTTGGATTTTATTTTTTTCCTGGGTGGGGGTAGGGGCACAGTTCTCACAGTTGAATGCTGATAATGGGAATGAAATTTTGTCATCTACAGAAAATTAGGTTAACCATAGAGTATCTACAGAACTACTAATAAAACATTGGAAAAGTAGTACCAGATCATGTATCATTAAAGAATGTTGGTATGTAAGAGAGAGAGAGAGAGAGAGAGAGAGAGGAGAAACTTTTAAAATTTGATAAGCTTGTCCATTTTCAACAAATACTCACGCATATTTAAACAAATGTCAAGAGTTTATGGTATAATAGTTTCACAAAAACTCAATATCAGTACGAATAAATAAGATCAAGTTTCAAGAAAAACAATTATTTTTCAGAAACTGAAGAAAACAACTATGCATACACAAGTATACATTTACAGCCCATTCAGCTAACCAGAAACAAAAAACTCATTTCCTGCACTCCACCTCCATGATTTCAATAGTTTAACAGCTTAGTTAACTTAACTATCTAATTCAACTTGCTTTCTTTCACTTGTGGCTTAATCAGCTAAAGTAACTAAATATATGTACTCGCTTATCCACGGGAGATTTTTCTAAATGGCCTAGTCAACAATAGTATTGGGCTTTATTGTTAAAATACTATTTTGCCCTTACTTTCTATATTTGCAAAATATGATCTGTATCTTTTAATTGCTAAATTGTTCAAAGTTATATCTTACAATTCTTCTGTTTGGATCGTAAGTTCTTATAACTAATCCTGGGAACCTAAGTTCAGTATTTTCTTGTAACCAAATCAATTATTGTTGTTACTCGAATTTGTGATTATCTTATAATTTTTAGGATCTTATCCCATTTTTCTGTATTATTTTCTCTTCTAAGGTCTTCAAGGAGTATCCTAATTTCTCTAAATCTTAGTTCGCTGGTATTATCTTGGACTTTTCTAAATCTTTCAATATCTTCTCTTTCCTTGTGGTTCATTAATTAAATTAATCAGGATTACTATTTATACGATATTCCTTTAACCTTTCAATTTGTTCTAAATATTCTCTATATTTTGTTAATTTTTTAAAAGTTCTAGGTTGATTTTCTTTAGTTATATATCCAAAAACAATTCCTTCTGAAACTTATTCTTCAATATCTTCATATTCAGTTATGATATCTTTGATCTTTTTTTATTTCTTTATAAGTTTCTACATGCTCAAATCATATACTATGTTTACAAGCATTATCTATAGCAAGATATAACTCTTCAAGTTTTTCTTAACCAACAAGACGTATATCTTTAGATTTTTCAACTATACTTGGTAAAAACGAAATATCATTTTCATTTAAATATAATTTAAGACAACAATTATTGGATGTGGATGCTTGTGAAGTATTCATAAAGATCAATAGTAATTAAAGTATAAACGTATAAAAGCATGTAAATAACTTACAGTAATCAATGGAAATAACTAGGTTTTCCTTCCAATATGTTCTAATAGTTGCTTTGCACGTACTTAATCAATCTTCTGAATCAGATGAATATTTAAAATGTTTTAAAATCATTTAGGTCCACAACTACTTCCGCAAAAGACTTTTCAATTAAAATTGCATTTCCCACTTTAGAGAACTAGCCATATTACCACAGATGCTATCTCACAGTATTCAGTCTCTATTTTCACATCTATTCAAACTCTTTTCAAAATAAAATTCTTACTTAGAACAAAATTTTAAAAGATAACTCACACACAAGGTGTTACAATTTTTCGTTAGAAAACTGTTATTTTCTCCTTAAACATTCATCAAAGACCGGTACTTTGGTATGGCTAACACCCATTCAAAACAATGTTTTGAAAATCTTTTAAAATCTCTATCTGTA